AAATTGAGGGGATTAAAACATTACTTTTTACATATGCCTAGATGTATCTTAACTGTTAATTATATTTTCATTTGCTTTGTTATAATAGCGTGCATGTAAAATATAAAATGCATTTATGAAGACTTTTGTAAAAAATAAAGGATTTTCATTTCTCAAAGTTGCTTATAATGGCTATTTTACCTATTTATACAACATAATCCTACAACTATGTTGGATAATCATCCATTGTGGTATGTTTAGTAGCAGAGTATTGAGCTGTATCACCAGCTCAACTCTACATTGTTGTCACTCTCTGTATGTTCCCCCATAAATCCAAATTTTCTGGTGTACCCAGGAAGGCTCTCCTTTTATAGGCCTCTGCTGGAATTCTTCATCTCCAGATGTGTCCTGGATTTAGATCATTTTCATACTTTCAAAAGAACAAATAACAGGGTGCTGGTGGCTCATGTCTATAATCCTAGCATCTCAGGAGACTTGAGATCTGAGGATCACATTCAGAGCCAGTCAGAGCAAACCAATCTATGAGAGTCTCATCTCCAATTAACCAGCAAAAAGCTGAAAGTAGAGGTATGGCTGAAATTGCAGAGCCTTAAGAGGAAAACACCAAGTAAGAGGGTTAGGCCTTGACTTCAAGCCCCAAGACTAGTGCACACACACACACACACACATAGACACATACACAAAGGAACAAATGACTATTCAAATATTCCATCATGATGGCCTTTGAAAACTATTCCATGTCTTCTAATCCTATGCAAACTAAAGGGTAGACTTTCTCATACTTGCATAGTCTACTATGTTCTAAGGTCTGGAGATTCTCCCTTTACATCCTTGCTATCATTTGCTCTTCTCACAGCTGTTGGAGCCACCCTCATGGAGTGTGGGGCAAAGGCAGGTGAGTACTGGATTTGAACTAAGAGCCTCACGATTGCTAGGCAGGCGCTCACCCTGCGAAGCCATACCTCTAGTCCTATCGTGCACTAGTTATTTTTTGAGATAATATCTCAGTTCCTCCCCAGGCCTGTGCTTGGACTCGTATCTGTCTATTTTAGGCTTCCCGTTATAGCTAGGATGACCAGCACACAGCAACACCTACCTTCTTTTTCCTTTGAGATGGAATCTGGAAAACTTTTCTACCCAGGCTGGCCTAGAATTTATGATTCTCCCAATCTCAGCTTCCCAGGCAGATGGGACAGGACCATGGGCACTTGGCTACCTTCATCTTGTGTCTGGAAATTTCAGTGCTTTGTTAAGCTATCTTCAGGTTCTTACCTCAGTTTCCTCAGATTTCACCAGCACATTTTAGCCAAGCAAGTCATTTCCTTTTGATGACTTCCCAGTTTCCAAGATAAAGTTCAGTCTGTCCAGTTGCATACCCAAGGACCAGCAGCTCTTCTGGCCCTTTCTAACCCACAATGTGTTAAGTTATGACATTGGTACTAGAGTACTGGGTCTGGGTGTGGGATTAGTCCAGTGAAGGAAGTGGAAGACATTTGATTTATCCTTCATATCTGGTGCTTTCACCACTCTAAAGTTTGGGAGATGAGCAGGAGTGACATCAACCTCATGGGACACACATTTCCTTTTTTTTTTCTTTCCAGTCATGGGGCTTGAACTGGGCTTAGGTGCTATCCCTCAGCTCTTTAGATCAAGGCTAGTGCTCTACCACTTGAGCCACAGCATCACTTCCAGTTTTCTAGTGGTTTATTGGAAATAAGAGTCTCATGGACTTTTCTGTCTGGACTGGCTTTGAACCATGATCCTTGGATCTCAGCCTCCTTAGTAGCTACGATTACATTCATTAGCTACCAGCACCCGGCCACATTTCCTTTTATAGACTGGCTTTAGGTGAAGCTTAAATAGATTTCCTTCTGTGACTCTAGTCCTTTCCCTTCCCCTTGCCACCAAGAACTGAAAATTACTTACTTTTACTTTTGGAAGGTCTGGATCCCAGAGGCACTTGGCCCAGAAATGGAAGAAACATTGAAAATAAAAACAAATTAAACTAAAAGCTGACCTGCTCTTTGATCGTCTTGTTCTCTAAAACTCTGCCCTACTGTACTGAATTAGATCCACTGAAGTATCATCAAGTGAAGATTTGTGGGAATGACTGCATAAGGTTCAAACCTGGTTTGAAAACTTTGATATTTTTTCTTTAGCCATAAGGGTCCTTCAGCCAGGCACTAATAACTCACACCCATAAGCCCAGTGGGCTGAAATCTGAGACTCTTATCTCCAAATGGCCAGCAAAAAGCTCCAAGTGGAGTTGTAGCTCAGTTGTTAGATCACCAGAGCCAAGTAAGAGTGTGAAGCTTTGATTTTGTCCCAATACCAACACATATACAACACATTTAAAGAAATCTTTCAGGGCTGGGAAGGTGGCTCAGTGGTAGAGTGCTTGTCTCACATGCATGAGGCCCTGGGTTTGATTCCTCAGCACCACATAAGCAGAAAAAGGCAGAAATGGCACTGTGGCTCAAGTGGTAGAGTGCTAGGCTTGAGCTGAAAAGCTAAGCAACAGCACCTGGACCCAGAGTTCAAGCCCATGACCAACTAAAAATAAAAAAAAAATAAATTTAAGAAAAATCATTAAAGATGTTCTAGCCCCCTTGTTTTGCTGCTGAGGAAACTGCTCCCATCTCTCCTAACATGGCTGGAGACACCCTTCTGTGTGCTCTCTTACCACCCCCTTCCATTGCAACAGCAGGTCCAATAAAGACCTCTCTTGAGTTGTCTGTCTTGCCTACTTTTGGTTCTCACCTTTAGTACTGTGGGCCAAGCTGATAACACAACAAAAAAAGGAAAGAAGCAGTGGGTGTCCAGAGGCCTTTCAGCAAGAAGAGCCCAGCTAGGCCAGGATCCTGTGTATTGCAGAAATCTCTGAGGCAGACTCTGGCCTCCTGGTGGGTGCAATTATCCTGGATTGCCCCATCAGCAGAAACTGGGTTTACCTCCAACAAGGTAAAAAAGGAGGCTGAAGTAGTTTAGGAAATGAGTGACAACAGGGGTTAAGCAGTGGGAGAGCCACCTCCCACCATTGTCCCAACCTAGGTGATTAAGACCTTTAACACTTTTGGCTTTGGGCAGGATCCTAGCCCTGGATCCCTGGGGCTTCTGCCACAGTTGTCAAAGACCTCTCAAATGTGATGCACAAGAGCTGTGACTCTAGAGGCAGCCACCTGCTGCTGACTGGTGTCATTCACTTCAGTTGCGTGCAAACATCCACCACCAAGAACTTAAACAATTGGCTTCTTGTCTAACCAGGATTTCTAGCTTAGAGAATATATATATATCCTAACCAGCTAGATTGTGACAAAAGCACTGGCATATCTACCAGTGTAGATAGATATAGACAAAGTATCGGCAAGGAGGCCTACCCTTTTCTCCTTTACAAAGTTATGTTTTGACGGTTGATGTTATAGTAAGTCTGTTGTCATGAGCTGAGTTGAAGCTTTTAAAAATTAAGTACATTTTACTATGGAAATACTGTGCATATGTAGGCGCTTAGATACACATGTAATACTGGAGTCTCAGGAAAATCTTGGCACGCTCCTGTAATTTCATCTCTAAAGACTGTCCTTTTCAATGTGTGAAATGCTAAATGTTTTTTTTTTTCCTTTAGAAGAAGATGGTTACTGTTATGTGTTTAAAATGAATGTTGTACAGGAACTCAGTCTCGAGGAAACAGAGAAGCGACATTTTGAGAAGTCAAATTGGGAGTCTTTATTGGAGAGCCAGTGACTGCAGGTGGACACCTGTCTCAAAGACCTGTAGCCCCTTGAATACTCTTAACACTGTTAGAAACCTGTGCCATAAGAACAGGAGAGGAAAGAAAAAGCAGAAAATACCAACAAATCAGATCACCTCCAATGGACAGCTGGCATGAGACACCATGGTGACCAGAGAAGGACCAGGAGACACAAGACGTGAGGCATGGTGTCCCGATGCCTGAGCTCATCTGGGCCTTAATAAGGTCAAGGTCAGGGGGCAAGATCACAGGAAAACTCCAGAGTCTCAGTTCAAATCATAGGACTGACAGGTCCAGTAACCTATCAGCCAAGTCCCCACCCCCTGGGTTCTGGGAATCCAGGCACACCTATCACCTGAGGATGGAACTTCCCTGCCTCTACCATGAAGACAAGATGGCACCAGTTAAACCCAATTCCCTATCACCCACCGTGTAGCCAAGATGGCACAGGTTAAATCCAAGCTCCTTATTTCATTATCAGCCAGATAGTTCAACCTAGGCAAACAGAGAGGAAAATCATTCCTATGCTATCTCCATTTGACCCCAACACAAAGGAAACCCCTGTAGCATCCTTTACCTAGAAAACAGGTCTAGGAGATGACTCCAGGGCAGAGGCTAAGGGACCCTGCTTTTCCTTGAGGCATCTCTTGGAGCCCAGGATCTTGGAAGGCCTGGCTCCTCTCGGAAGTGCCCATCCCTCGGATTCAGAGGAAGTGGGGAGACAGCGGGTATTGACTTCTCAACTATATACTCCTTGTTGCCTTAAACTGCATTCGTACCCCCTTTGGCCTTCCTGCATTGAGGTTGATCCCCAGTTTGCCTCTGTGCTCAGAGACCTAAAACTCCATTACTAAAGCCTTCTGCAGAGGAACTGATAAGGAGAGCAATGGAGGCGCAGGAGGCCCAGGAGGCCCAGGGTGGCAGGTGTGTTGCCTATTCCAGGCCTTCCATTTCATGGGCTTCGAGTTTCCAGCGAGCCTGGGTGTGGCCGGGCCTGAGGGAAGCACGTGAGTCTCGCGAGATCCCCCCCGGAGGAGGCGGGGCCATGTTCCGCTGCCTTCCCAGAAACCACTGCGCACCCAGCTGGTATAAAAGGGCGGGAGCGGGCGGGGCCTCCCTTTCGGGCCGCCCTGGGCTCTTTTGTCCCTTTGTCTCCTCAGGCTGTGGCGTAGGCCGCGCCCAGGCCTCACTGGGCGGCTCCTCAGGAAGGTGACCCCGAAAGGCCCCCCCGCAGGGCCGCAAAGGGAGCAGGATGGCCCTGTGGCCACTCCGCGTCTACACACGCAAGAAGCGGGTGGGCCAGAGGCTCAACCTCACCCCGGCGCTAGACCAAGGCCTCCCCGTCAAGACCACCGAAGCCCCACCAGGCCCAAGGCGGGGCCTGCGCTGTAAGCGATGCCCAGTTGACTTGAGGACTGATGCGCAGGCGCCCCGGGAGGGGCGGCATGGCCGGGTGACAGGAGGGTGGGCCGGGCCTGGCCTAGGGACAACCTACCCCACCATTCTCTGTCATTTGCTCTGACACTGCTGCCCGTCCCCCTTTTCCTCCCCACTTCCTTGCAGGCTTGGAAGACAAAGTCAAAGAGAATGGTTTGCTAAAGATTGCCGAGAAAGAAGAACAGAGCAGGCTAGGTGGAGGTGGTGGCTCTGCGGGGTCAAGGTGCGTGCCTGGACTCCGAGCTCTGAGCTACCTGGCTTCTTAGAAAACGTCAACTCTCCTGTTCTGCTATGTGTGCACGAAGAAAATGGATTACTCTCGATTTCTCTTTTTTTCCTAACCAAGATCCAGAAAACTGACTTCAGACAAATTTAGTTTTCTGTTATTTTGTGTAGGTACTGGAGCTTGAACTCGAGGCCTTGGGAGCTGTCCCCCTTAACATGTTCAGCTCCAACCACACCTCTACTTCTGGCTTTTGGCTGGTTAATTGGAGATAAGTCTCATGGACTTTCCTGCTGGAGCTGGCTTCCATCCTCAGATCTTCTTCCTAAATAGCGTGAGACACCAGTGCTCAGCTCAAATTTGGTTTTCTTTAAAAAAAGAAAGAAAAGACGGCTGACACTGATGGCTCATGTCTGTAATTCTAGCTAATCAGGAGGCTTAAATCTCAGGACCGTGGTTCAAAGCTGGCCCAGGCAGGAAAGTCTGTGAGACTCATCTCCAATTAACCACCAGAAAACCATAAGTGGCACTGTGGCTTAAGTGATAGAGTGCTAGCCCTGAACTGAAGCTGAGGGACAGCGCTCAGGCCCAGTTCAAGCCCCATGACCGACAAAAAAAAGTAGAGCTGTGGCTCAAAGTGTAAAAGTATTAGTCTTGAACACAAAAGCTCAGGGACAGTGCCCAGCCCCTGAGTTAAAGCCCGACCACCACCACCACCAACAACAACCAAAAAAAAAAAAAAAGAAGGGGGAAGGTTATTAAAAGTGAGATAAAACTTATCACCATTTGGGTATTGATGCAAATCATCACTTTCTTGAGGATGCCCCTAAAGAATTCTTTAGAGCCCACACACACATATATGGAGAGTCAGGCTCAGATGGTGCAAATTAATTGTGTTGTTTGTTTGTTAGTGCTCAGTTACAAGCTACAGGAGAAGATACTCGAAAAGAAAATAGCATGAGAGAAGAGACCCCAAATGAGATGATCCTGCCACTGAGTGTATGTATGTGTCTCCTGTAGTCTCTGGATAGACTTAGGAAACAGACCTGCAGTAGTTGATGAAAGAATAAAATAGTTTTTCTTCCACAGCAATTACATAGATTGCTAGTATTGTTGTAAACACTTGTGTCTTTAGGGTCTTAAGTTCCTGACTCAGAAAGGTTCATAGCCATGCATCTATGTGTCTCTAACAAATATTGGAGATGTGTGTCATTAATTTTAGCTATGAAAACCTTATTTATCTTGTTTATGTTCTGGTAGCACTTCAACTTTTTTTTTTTTTTTTTGCACTGGTACTGGGGTTTGACCTCAGGGCCTTGTGCATGCCTAACTTGCACTCTTCCACTTAAGCAATACCTCCAGCCCAGCTTTTTGCTTGTTAGTTGGAGATAGAGTCTCTTGAACTCTTCTGCCCATATTGGCTTTGAAATGCCATGATCTAGAATACTCCTGAGTATTCAGGGTTACAGGCTTGAGCCACTAGCAACTGGCTCATTTTCACATTTTCCATTTGATTTCCATTAACAACTAGAAACATGCTGTGTTACAGAGGAATCTACTACTTTTATTAGAAAGAAACTTATCTTCCTTCCTTCCCTCTCCTCCCTCCCTCTCCCTCCCCTTTTTCCCTCCCTCCCTCTCCCTCTTTCCCTCCCTCCCTCTTTCCTTCCCTTTCTCCCTCCCTCCCTCTCTCCATCCCTTTCTCCCTCCCTCTCTCCTTCCCTTTCTCCTTCTCTCCCTCCCTCCTTCCACCTTCTTTCTTTCGTTCTTTCTCCTTCCTTTCTTCCTCTTTCTCCTTCCTTCCTTTATCCTTCCTCTCTTTCTTTCTTCTTTCTCTCTCTCCCTCTTTCCTTTTTCTTTCTTCCTCTCCCTCCCTCTCTTTCTTTTTTTCCTTTCTTTCTTTTGCATAGGGCCTCACTATGTAGCTCAGGCTACATTTCCCTGCTTCACTAGTGCTGGGATTGCATGCTTGCACTAACAATGAAGGATTAGGATATATCCTCAGTGTATTGTATTTCATAGGGATTTTCTACAGTATTTTAAAGCTGTTGAGCAGTAATTTGGGGAAACTAGGATTTAAAAACTGATTCATCTGACGTTAATATTAAGCTTGACAATCAAATTCTCAATTTGGCTTATATTTCTCTACAGTGTTATTAAGGAATGACAGTTTCAACATAAAATAAAAGGGGCTGGGAAGGTGGCTCAATTCCTCAGCACCACATAAGCGAAAAAGAAAAAAGCCGGAAGTGGTGCTGTGGCTCAAGTGGTAGAGCGTTAGCCTCGAGCTGAAGAGCTGAGGGACAACACCCAGCCCAGAGTTAAGGCCCCACGACCGGACCAAAAAAAAAAAAATATTAAGAAAAAGAAAAGGTTTTGACCTCAACTGGGAGCCAGTGGCTCATGCCTTGTAGTTGTAGCTACTCAGGAGGCTGAGATCTGAGGATCTTGGATCAATGCCAGCCTGAACAGGAAAGTCTGTGAGACTCTTATCTCCAGTTAACCACCTGAAAAACCAAAAGTGGTGCTTTGGCTCAGGTGGTAGAGCACTTGCCTTGAGCTGAAGAGCTCAGGGACAGTGCCTAGGCCCAGAGTTCACGCCTCATGAACAACAACAACAAAAAAGGCTTTGGTCTTAATAATATATGGTAATGTTTTTTCTTATACTATTAAAAATAAACTTGAAATTTTTCTTCACATTTTTGTATGTTTTTTGCTCATTTTCCTTTGTAAAATGGAAAACATTTACAAGCTCTTTTCTATTCTTCTGTATTAGTTTTTAAGATTATTTTATGTTTGCGATCTACATACATAGTTGCAATTATTTTAAAATTATTCATTGTCCATGTTTTTCCCTTCTTCATTATCTTCAGCCCCCTAGATTTTGAGCCCAAACAGCCTCATAAATAGAATCATGTTCTATGTGTACACCTATATGTATATGTATGTATGTAGTAGATTTACATGGCCATGAATTTGTATGTCTTTTAGATCCATGTATGTAGTAGATTTACATGCCATGAATTTGTATGTCTTTTAGATCCAACTTCCAGAAATGAGCAAAAATGCTCAATATTTGACTTATTGAGCATTATCTCATTTAATATGATGTCCTCTATTTCTCTTTTTTTTCCTCAAATGATGTGGTTTCACTTTTCTCTCTTAGCTAGGTATTACTCCATACTATATATGTACATATTTCTTTATCCACTTATCTGTTATTTGGTACTTATTTAATCTCTACAGTTTGGCTGTTGTGAATAGTACTGCAATAAACACTGTATAGCCCAGTAAAAGTTTGATAGAGTCATATGGTAGATCTGTTTTAACTTTTTTGAGAAACCTCCATTCTTATTTCCATGGTGGCTGAATTAGTTTACATTCTTACTAATACTACATGGGGGGCTCCTTTTCCCCTCAAATCCTCACCAGAACTTGTCTACTGTCTTGATGATTGCCATTCTGATTGGAATAAGAGAGAATCTCAGTATAGTTTTAATTTTCATCTTTATGTTTAAGGATGATGTACAACATTTCTTCATGTTATCTGTAATTCATTTTTATTTCTTCTGTATTCAATTTGCTTGCTAATTTATTAATTAAATCCCTTGTTCTTTTGCTGTTTAATTTTTTGAATTCTTTGTGTGGACTGTAAATTAATCCTTTATCTGTTGAATAGCTGTTGAACATTTTCTCCCAATTCCCATAGATTGTCTCTCAATTTTGATAATTGTTTCTTTTTCTGTGTAGACTCTTTTTATTTTTATCTAATTTTTTTTTGTCAGTGCTACTGCAGCTTGAGTTCAGTGCCTGGGCACTGTCCCTTCCCTTTTTGCTCAAGGGTGATGTTCTACCACTTGAGTCACAGCTCCCTTTTTGGCTCCTTGGTGGTTAACTGGAGATACAAGTCTTACAAACTTTCATGCTCTGGCTGGTTTTGAACTGCAGCTCAGCCTCCTGAGTGGCTAGGATTCCAGGTGTGAGTCACCAGCATCCATCCAAGAATATTTTAAATTTGATTTCTCATTTGTCAATGCTTGTTCTCATTTACCAGGCAATCAGAGTGGTATTTAGTAGTAAGTACCTATATGTAGAACTTCCATAGTTTTCCTGTGCTTTCCTATAGTAGATTTAAAGTTTCAGAGTTTACTTTTAATACACTAAGACACTGGTAATTGATCTTTGTACAGGGTAGGTGATAGGGCCAAGTTGTTGACTCTTGCAAGTAACCAGTTTTGTCACCATCATTTGTTGAAAAAGGCTGTCTTTCTAATGTGTATTTTTGGCTCCTTTGTCAAATTATATGACTGTAGTTTTGTGCCTTTATTTCTAGATCTTCTACTCCATTGAACTTGAGGTCTGTTTTGGTGTCATGCTATTTTTGTTACTATGGCTATGTAGTATAATTTGAAGACCAGATTGCTGGTTTTACTCAGAATTGCTTTTGCTATTTGGAGTCTGTTTTGTGTACATACGGGATTTTAGATTGAGAGTTTTCTATTTCTGTAAAAACTGATATTGACACATTGATGATGACACATTTGATTCTGTAGGTTGTTTTGGCAGTATAGCCATTTTCATAATATTCTGCCAATCCATCTTGTGTCTTCTACCATTTCTTAAAGGTTTTATGTTTTATAGAAATCATTTACTTCCTTGATTAATACTTATGTGCTTTATTGTTTTCAATCTTATATCAATGGAATTGTTATTCTGATTTTATTTTTCAGCCTGTTCATTATTGGTACATAGAAAACGTACAGATTGGAAGTGGTGCTGTGGCTCAAGCAGTAGAGCGCTAACCTTGGGCTGAAGAGCTGAGGGACAGTGCCCAAGCCCAGAGTTCAAGCCCCACGACTGACAAAAAAAAAAAAAAAACAGAGAAAATGTACAGATTTTTTTTTGTCAGTACTGGAGTGGATTCTTTTACCAGTACTCATTGCCTTGAGCTTGTTTGACTGGTGCTGTACCACTTGAGCCAGGCCACAAATAACAAAAATCTGGACAAACATACCCACAAAAAGAGAGAAAAACCAATTATTTTCTACTAATGTCATTTTAGGGTTCACTATTTGGTAAGATTTTTTTCTATCCTCTCACTTAGACCGGTATTTGTCTTTGTGTTTCTTGCCTGCAGCAGATGGTTTGATCTTCTTTTTTTTTTTGGTCAGTCGTGGGGCTTGAACTCTGGGCCTGGGCTCTGTCCCTCAGCTCTTCAGCTCGAGACTAGTGCTCTACACTTGAGCCACAGTGCTACTTCCATTTTTTTCTGCTTATGTAGTGCTAAGAAATCAAACCCAGGGCCTCATGCATGCAAGGCAAGCACTCTACCACTAAACCACCTTCCCAGCCCTGGATCTTGATTTTTAATTCAAGTTGCCATTCTGTTTTCTGATTGGAGAGTTAAGACCATTATTATTCAATAGTAATATTGAAAAGTATGTTGTTTTTAGGATGGTTGCTTCTTTCCTATTCCTTTGGTAATTTCGTTGACTGGGATTTATTGTTTCCTACATTTCTTGGTTTAGTTTTGTTGTTGTTGTTGTCGTTGTTGTGGGGCTTAAACTCTGGGCCTGGTAGCTGTTACTGAGCATTTCAGCTCAAGGCGAGCACTCTACCACTTGACCCATGCCATCGCTTCTGGTTTTCTGGTGGTTAATTGGAGATGAGTCTCATGGACGTTTCTGTCTGGGCTGGCTTTGAACCATAATCCTCAGATCTGAGCCTCGTAAGTAGCTAGGACTGCAGGCATGAGCCACTGGCCACCCAATATATTTCCTGTTTTTAATTGTCTTCTTTTGTGGCTAGGATTCCTTTTACTGTCTTTTATATTGCTGGTTCAGTAGTCATGATTCCTTTAGTTTTTGTTTATTGTGGAATTTCTTTTTCTTTCAGTTATGAAGGACAGCTTTATTTAGTATACTAATTTAGGTTGACAATTGTTATATCTTTCAGGGCTTGGATTATGTCTTTTCATGCTGTCTCTCTATTTTTGCATTTAGAGCTTGTGTTGAGAAATCTGTTGTTCTGATGGGCTTGCTGTTGTGTGTAACTTACTTTCTCTTTTCTGATTTTTTTTTTTTTTTTTTAGTGCCAGTTCTGGGACTTAAACACAGCTGCCCCTGAGCTTTTGTGCTCAAGGCTAGCATTTTACCACTTGAGCCATAGTTCCACTTCTGCCTCTTTTTTTTTATTTCTGCCTCTTTTTTTGTGTTTAACTGGAGATAATAGCCTCACAGATTTTCCTGTCTGGTCTGGCTTTACATGTATCATGTTTATTTTGCATTTCTTTTTTTTTTGTCAGTCATGGGGCTTCAACTCTGGGCCTGGGCACTTTCCCTCAGCTCTTCAGCTTAAAGCTAGTGCTCTACCACTTGAGCCACAGCATGACTTCTGGCTTTCTGGTGGTTAATTGGAGATAAGAGTCTCACGAGCTTTCCTGCCTGGGCTGGCTTTGAACTGTGGTCCTCAGCTCTCAGCCTCCTGAGTAGCTAGGGCTACAGGTATGAGCCATTGGCACCCAGCTTATTTTGCACTTTTTGAATGTTAATATAGTTTGTACTTCTTTCCTTACTGTCATTTGTATTTTTTAGTGTAATATATCTTTTTTTTTTTTTTTTTGGTTAGTCACGGAGCTTGAACTCGGCCAGGGCACTGCACCAGAGCTCTTCAGCTCAAGGCTAGTGCTCTACCATTTGAGCCACAGTGCCACTTCCAGTTTTCTGGTGGTTTATTGGAGATAAGAATTTCATGGACTTTCCTGCCCAGGCTGGCTTTGAACCGCGAACCTTGGATCTCAACCTCCTGAGTAGCTAGGATTACAGATTGTAATATATCTGATATATTAAAGATAGTTTTACAAATAATTTCAATTTTTTGTCCTGAATTTTAGTATTTTAGATTTATCTATCAATTTTTTCTTTTATTTTTATTTAATTTGCATTTATATTTAGAGGACAAAAACTGATCTTTCTTAGATAACTAGAAAAATGTTCACCTTTATCTTTTATTTACTATTTTGTTTTATAGTAGTGTGTTGATTATATGGTCAATTCCCTAGATATGTTCATAGTATTAGAATATTTTGGATTCAATATTAAATAAATTACATTTCTGACAAATAAGTTGAAAAAATATCATAATTATGAAACTGATATACAAAGTAAACATCAGTTTTTTATTTTCAGAAAAACCAAATCAATATGATATGAAAATATCCAATCTCATCATTTGTTTTGTATCTTTAATTCTTATTTCACATAGGAATCAGTGACTGATGACTTCCAGGATGACAGTAGTTCATCAAATAGTGATCTAGTGTCAGGTAAGACTATCATATTCAACTTCCTCAGCTTTTCTGCCTTTCCTTCAAAAATAAGCAACCATTGTGTCTCTTCTTATTTCTTTTTTTTTCTTTTTTTTAAATTTTTATTGTAAAGATACTATACAGAGGGTTACAGTTAAATGAGCAAGGTAATGAGTACACTTCTTATTGAGCATTGTTACCCCCTCCATTGTTTTCCCCCTATTATCCCTTCCCTCCCTACCTTCCCCAAGGTTCTTTTTTTTTTCAGTTGTGATTGATTACATAATTTCCCAAATTTCACAGTATTGTGGAATAATGATGCTCATTTAAAGTCACAAGTTCATTCTAACTTTCCTGGAGCAAATTGTCTATCACAGTCTATAACATACAACGGTGTACACATATACACCATACATGTGTTCTTATTTCAATGAAGAAGTGTCTCCCTCTAGTCTAACTTGAGTCCTTCTGATATAGAGTACTCTAGACCTCATTTTCAGAGTTTATAAGTACACATCAGTAAATATGAAATTATAATTTTAATAAATATTACAAAAGAGAGACAGTTCAGTTTAATTAATTGAATTTAGGAAATGCTTCCATGAGGGATTATCAAATGAACTGAAATTCAAAAGTGACTAGAAATGAACTATACAAGGAGACCAATAAAGACCTTACCATGGGATCTGGCTGTGTTTGATCACACCTGTAATCCAAGCTACTCAGGAGAGTGGGGATCAAGAGAATCGTTGTTCAAGGGAAGCCCAGGCAAAAAGTTTGCAAGAGTCCACTTCATCCAATAAAACAGCTAGGCATGGCATAGATCCCTGTTATCTATCCCAATTACACAGGAAAATAGGATCAAGGTCCAGGCTAAATGAGAGGTCCAGGCTAAATTGGGCATAAATGAGAAACCCTGTCTCAGAAATAAAGCAGACAGGACAGGGGATATGGTTCAAATAGTAGAATGCCTGCCTGCCTTGAAGGTGTAAGGCTCTGGGTTTAAACTTCATTATGACACATGCATACACACACACACACACAGAATTACCATGGAACCAATCTTGTATGTTCAATGAATTAAAAGAAGGCCACTGTGACTGGGCAGTTGAGAGAATAACAAGAATGTGATTACAGGACAAAAGTAGGTAATCAACTGGAAGCCTGGTACTCCATGTCCAAGTATTGATATTTATTTTGGGGGGGTGGTAAAGTTATGTATGTCTTTTGAGGTCCCTAGCAATGTCAAACAAGGACATGGAGAGATGGAGATAAAAATTTGTGACCAATATAAATATTGGTACAGTTAAATTTATTTTTAAAGCAAGAAAGGATGCTATTAGCATACTAGAAGTATAAAGGAATTATTGAAAGCATGGAAGATGAGATCAAAGTGATGAGTAGATCAAGAGTAGAGAAGACAGACATCAGTGGCTCACACCTAAAATTCTGGTAACTCAGGAGGCTGAGATCTGATGACTATGGTTCAAAACCCACTCAGGCAGACAAATCCTAAAACTCTTAATCAGCAAAAGTCAGAAGTAGAGGTTTAACAAACTTAGAACACCAGCCTTGAGTGAAAAAGTCAAATGAGAGCATGAGATCATGAGGTCCTGAGTTGAAGTCCAAATACCACACACACACACACACACACACACACAATTTGAAAAAGTTGGCTCCTTTCTTTTTATCACCTTCTTACACTGGAAATACTGATGGCTCCGGGTGTCTGCTAAAACTGTGTCTGATAAAACCCTGAAAACTGCTCCCCAAGAAAAATGGCATCTGTCTACACGAACATGTTCATTTAGAAAAATAATTTCAAGATTTCATATTTATTGTAAGACTGGACATAATGCATTTGCTTCTTACTGAAATCCCACAAATCTCACAAAGCATAAAGGAATAGTAAAGGCATGAAGCTTTTGGGCAGAAAAGAGACCTCAGAATCTGGAAGGTAAATGAAAGAATTATAATTGACTTAAAGATCTTTAGAAAAAATACTGAAGCTGGGCACTAGTGGCTTATGCCTGTAATCCTAACTGTTCAGGAAGCTGAGAGTTGCAGATCAAGGTTTGAAGCCAACCCAGGCAGGAAAGTCTGTGAGGCTCTTATCTCCAATTAATCACTAGAAAACCAGATGTGGAACCGTGGCTCAAAGTGGTAAAGCACTAGCCTCAGGGACAGCACCCAGCCCTGAGTTCAACTCCTACAATAGAAGGAAAAAAAGTGCTGAAAACTAGGTTCTTAGAGTAGAGACAGACTGAGAAGTAAATTGACTTCAGGCTGTAGGTTTAGGAATTGGAGGCATCACATATCCCTAAAGGAATAGGTGTTGATTTTGTTGAAAATAAATGTTTGGGAAATTTTTTTTTTTTTGGTTGGTCAGGGAGCCTGAACTCTGGGCCTGGGCAGCTCAAGGCTAGTGCTCTAGCTCTTGAGCTACAGTACCACTTCTGGCCTTTTCTGCTTATATAGTGCTGAGGAATCCAACTTGCAAAGCAAGCACTCCACCACTGAACCACCTTCCCAGCCCTATTTTAGAAGATTTCTTTTTCTTTTCTTTTTTTTTTTTGGTCCAGTCTTGGGGCCTGAACTCTGAGCCGGGGCACTGTCCTTCAGCTCTTCAGCTCAAGACTAGCACTCTACCACTTGAGCCACAGCGCCACTTCTGGCTTTTTTTCTTTTTGCTTATGGTGCTGAGGAATCGAACCCAGGACCTCATGCATGCCAGGCAAGGCTCTTCCCAGCCCCTATTTTGGAAAATTTTTAAAGTGGCAATTAGGTGTTTCAATCCACACTTGTGATGAGACAACTGCTCTTCTACCCATCCTTGCAGTCTAGAGACAAGAAAATGGAAAGACTGATCTCACATGCTAAGTACTACTCAGGGCAGGGGTTTTAAACTGAAATTTAGCAGTGGCAGGGAAGCAAGGGGGACAGGAATAGGTCTGTATACCTACTGGTAAAACCCCTGCTGTCTACTCCCACTCAGGCACATATACCCTAGGTAGGACATTGGAGGATTTGTCTTCTGAAAGCTTCTGCCCAGGAGACCTATATTTTATGAATTGTGATCTGGTTCTTGTCTAAATACCCTCAGTAAGAGCCTACAGTGTTATAGTTCTGTTCAGAATGTCATTTTAGTACCTTATTCTTTTATTTGTATTGTGTGTTGGTACTCAGGGTCTAGAGCTCTCACTTGGCTTTTTTACTCATAGCTGGCACAGTATTACTTGTGCCACATCTCCATTCTGGCATTTCTGCTGGTTAATTGAAGATTTGTGTTCAGACTGATTTCAAATCCTGTGATCCTCTAGATTTCAGCCTCCAGTAGTTAGGATTGTAGATAAGAATTTCTAACTGCTTCATTCTTGAACATGCAAAAATTATTGGTATTTGAAGAAAACATCTAAATGAACAGATAGATAACAAAAAGAAACTAGAAGCATACAGACAACAAAGGACAATCTCTTTTTAAAATCATCATTTTGAGCTGGGTATGGTGGCATATGCCTATAATCAAAGTATTTGGGAAATGAGGCAGAAGAATTGTAAGTTTAAGGACAGCCTGGGCTACATGGTACCCTATCTCAAGACAAAGGAAAACAAATCAACAAAAAACATAGTGTTAGTATACTCAATTATGAAAAATGTTTACATAAAACAAGTGCAGACTACTGTAAATTAAGCAGAGAAAATGAATTTTTGGTATAAAAATTGAAACATTCTGTAGTATTAGATGATAAATTTAAGGAAGTGTTTTAGAAAATTGAACAAACATTGAAGAAAAGATAATAAAATATTGGCAATGATGGTGCAACTCTGATTATATACAGAAGCCTATGAATTCTACCCTTTAAAGGGATGAGTTTTATGGCATCAAAAGAAGCAGTAGAGTTAAAAGGAGTTGTCGCTAGAGTTGGAAATTATGTGGAGGTGTGAAATAAGAGATTACAGTTTTTGTTTTAGGCCTCTTAGAGATATTTAGCTTTTAAAATATATAAAGAATAATCTAATTAAAAATATAATTGTTAATGTATTTATATTTCTCACTAGTAAGAAATAGCCACTGATACAGCATGAATCCTTATTATTTTTTAATATATCTGTCCAGGTGATGAATGCAGGGTTTTCCTTATTTCTGAGCTTGAGTCCTGGAATAGTTCTGTTACGTGTGGTATTCATGAAATTTTGAGAAATGTAAGGAAAGACAGAATAGTACCTTTCCCTCTCCCCCCTCCTTTTTTTTGGTCAGTTGTGGGGCCTGAACTCTGGGCCTGGGAACTGCCCCTGAGCTCTTCAGCTCAAGGCTCTACCACGTGAGCCACAACACTACTGCTGGCTTTTTCTGCTTATGTGGTGCTGAGGAATTGAACCCAGGGCCTCATGCATGCAAGGCAAGCATTCTACCACTGAGCCACCGTCCCAACCCCCTTTTCCCCTTCTTTTAAGGGACAGTACTGAGGGCCTTGTATTTGTTAGGCAGGCACTTGATACTATTTTTTGCACCAGTTTTTAAGATACAGTATTACTTCCAAGCCAGGTGCATACTTGGACCTCAGTCTGCCAATTTTAGGCTTCCTCTAACAGCTTGGCCAATAGGCATGCACTATGCATGCCCAGCTTTATCCACTGAGATAGAGTCTTGTAGACTTTTTCCCCCCAGGTTCTTCTACATCTCAGCTTTCTATAAGCCTGTGCTACCAGCTATTGGTAGCACAAATTTCACAAATTTTTCTGCCTTGACTGGCCTCTCAACCTCCATCTTTCCAGTTTCAGCCTCCTAAGTAGACAGAGTTACAGGCAGGAGCCACTGGCTCCTGAATTGTGCAGTTACCTTTTTCTTACTAAATCTTTTGGTTTTCCTTAGCTGTTAGTACTATTTTTTTGAACTCCGGGCCTGGGTACTGTCTCTGAGCTTCTTCTTGCTCAAGGCTATTACTTTACCACCTGAGCCAAGCATCACTTCTGGCTTTTTCTGTGTATGTGGAAATCGAACCCAGGTCCTCATGCATGCTAGGCAAGCACTCTACCACTGAGCCACCTTCTCAGCCCCAGTACTATTTTTTATCCTCATTATGGATTAGAAAGTTCTGTCTAGATCTTAAATGAATTTTATATGTGTTGGCTTCATGGAGTCTATGTTCAAAAAGAGTTATTTCTGGGCTGTTTGTTCAGTTCTTTGGTTCTGTTTGTCAACATGTAGGCTCATTTTCTTTTTTTTCTTTTTCTTTTCTTTTTTTTTTTTTTGGTAGGTCATCGGGCTTGAACTCTGGGTCTGGGCACTGTCCCTCAACTCTTCAGCTCAAGACAAGTGCTCTACCACTTGAGCCACATGCACTTCTGGTTTTTTGGTGGTTGAACAGCTAGGATTACAGGCATGAGTCCACCGGTGCCTGGCTAGCTGATTGTTTTTTAGATAGCCATAATAATTAGACTTACCTTTTCTCTCATTTGCTAAAGAATTATGTTTAGAATATGTCTGTTTAGCCAGGTGCAGTGGCTCACACCTGTAATCTTACTCAGGAGGCTGAGATCTGAGGATCACAGTTCAAAGCCAGCCTAGGCAGGAAAGTCTGTGAGACTGTTATATCCAGTAATGCACTCGAAAACCAGAAGTGGTACAGTGAGTGACTCAAGTGGTAGAGTGCTAGCCTTGAGCTGAAGAGCTGAGGGGCAGTGTTAAGGCCCAGAGTTCAAGCCCCAGGACAGACAAAAAAAAAAGTCTATTTATTTATTTGTGTTGTCTTGGGGCTTGGACTTAGGGTCTAGGTACTGTCCTAAAACTTTACTACTCAAAGCTAGAGCTTTACCATTTGAACCTCAGTTTCACTTAAAGTTAATCTCTTGTTAATCAGAGATATGCATCTCATATACTTTCCTGTGTGGGCTGGCTTTGAACCACAATCTTCAAATCTCAGCCTACTGAGAGTTGCTAGGATTAAAGCCATGAGTCACTGGACTTGGCCTTTTATTTTTATTTACAATTTTTAAATATTTTAAATTTTTTTTAAATTTTAGTCATTTTATTTATTTTATTTTATTGTACTGTGGATTAAACTCAGAGCCTCATCCTTGTCAGGCAAGCACTCTACCACTTAAGCAATGTCTTTAAGCCCCTTTTGCTTTAGCTTAATTTTTCAGATATAATGTCTCTTTTTTGCCTGGCCTGGCTTCAGACTGTGATCCTTCTAATTATGCCTTCTTTATAGCTAAAATTACAGTCATGTAACCTTACACCTGGACTTTAGAACCTGAATTTTTGAGCCAAGAATCACAAGTGAGCCAAAGAAAGGAGTTAAGTTATGACACTAAAACTGAAAAACAATGGGAACATAATAGTGCATTTTTCAACATTTATGACAATTATTTTCTAAGATTCATATTAAAATGTTCTGTAATATACCTTTCTGTTGTATGTGGAATCAATTTTGCATGCAGAGCATCTGTATGAATATTCCTACAAATTTGAGGATTTCAATTTTGTCATCTATTCAAAGTTTATTATTTTGTTTGGATTTGTTTTCTATAGGACAAAGTTTGCTACATGATACTCCCAGTTCTGTCCTGAGCTCTTCAGTTACGGACTTTTATGCAGAATTCAGAAGCAATACTGAAGAGAGTATAAGTAGCTTCTCATCACCTGAGCAGTTTAGAAGGTCTGATTGTTTGGGTGAGAATATAATTTCATTCTTAATTTGCTCCACTGTAGAATTTTTCATTTGTCCACAAATTTTCCAATAAATAGATGCTTCTTTTGAGAAGAAATACTTTCATTCTTCACCAGCACCTCCCTCTCCTATTTTATTCCTTTGCTTAGTCACATAGTATTACAGAGATAAAGCCTTCAGGTCAGGAAGAATGAAAAAATGTCAAGCAGTACATCCAATCATATAATCACTGTATGTCTGTTCTCTGGTCTGATATGCTATCTATTTATTTTATACCGTTGCAGCACATAATACGTGTTCACTGTACCAAGGCCCTTCTTGAATTTTCTTTACTAATTAATAGTTACATTTATTTATGCTTACAAATAGAGCCTTTGGTTGGTGATGGCTAATGGAATGCATGCTTTCCTATATAGCTTTGCCATTGTACAAACTGTCCTTTAAAAAAACCCATAAGGACAAAGTGAATTGGAAAGAAGAATGCATAAAGTTTAAGAAGCTAGAAATCAGATGGTCTGACACAGTAGGCCTAAGGATACTTGAGTCCTAAATCAACAATGTGAACACTGAAATAAGTCAATTTATACAATATACCCTAAACTCTTTTACAGTTCTGCTGCACCAAATCTTTGTAAAAAGATGTCAGAAATATAGAGAATACCCATGTTTATTAAAGCATTGTTCACAATAGCCAAGAACTGGAATTGGCCTAAGTGCCTGTCAGAGTTGAATGGGTAAAGAAAATACGGGCATATATATTGAGTTCTGTTCATCTGTAAAAAAAAAAAAAATGAGGGGCTGGCTCAGCAGAAGGGCACCCGCCTGGCGAGCGCAAGGTCCTGGGTTCGGTCCTCAGTCCTGGAAAAAAAGAAGAAATAAAACAAAATTACATAATTTCCAGGAAATGGGTGAAACTTGAGGATATCATGTTAAGCAAAATAAGTCAGATGCAGAAAAACAAATGTTAAATATTTTCTCTTAATTTGTAGACACTGGAGGGAGAGAGAGGGCGGGGGAGGGGGAGGACTTGAAAGTAGATGAAGGACTATTAAGGAATGGGAAAGGAATTGAGGGGAGATGGGAGAAAGGAGCAAGAGAGGCATGTACTATAGTGTGTATAAAAAAGAAATTATAATGTTCATCCTAAATTGCAAGAACTGCTTATAGGGAGAATGAACATGATCAAAGCACAATATACACAAGCATGGAGCTGTCACAATGAAACCTATTGATGTATACAATTAGTAATGGCAAATATGATGATTAGTACTTTTCTACTTAAAAGAGCCTGAAGATTATTTATTTATTTTGAGGCAGAGTCTTGCTCTATAGACCAGGCTGGCCTGGAAGTTGCTATGTGTTTCATGCTATCCTTGAATCCATGGTAGTCCTGCTTCTACCTCCTGAGTGCTGGGATTGTCAGCCAAGTCCCTCTGATTCAAAACAGAGTTTTGAACATTCTGAACATAATAGTAGAGATAGAGTGATAGTTTGAAATGTTGGTCCCAATTACTCATTACTAAATTTTCCACTGTTTAACTTTGGGGCAGATTGTGTAGCTTGCTTTGGGTCATAGGCTATCTGTAAAAAAACAAAACAAAAAAAAAACTTAAGAATGTACCTAAAATATATATATATATATATATATATATATATATATCTTAGCTTCTACTAAGTGATTCTGGAATGGTAGGTACAAAGCAGATCAGCCCAAGGCAAGAAAACTGTACAGAGAACTGCTTTTGCTGATCTTAACACCTGTAATCTGAAGCAGAGACTCCTGATTAAACCAACAGATGTGGGAACAGTGCATAAATACTATTTGTGTTCTGTTACTTGGATTTGGGGGTTGTTCACTATAAAGCAGAAATTGACTACTTACATGTATTATACTAAATACAAAGGAGAAAAAAATTAAATGGAAGTATTCATCCTAAATTGTGAAATCAGTTCACCAAATCCCTGTTCCTGTCCCAACCCAACATTCCATTTCTCTGCTCAACTTTTGGAATATTGTTTCCCAAACATGAATCTTCTAGGCAGGAGAATTAAAAGTATTTTTTGTAATGCTGGAGAGTAAATGCAGGGTGTTATTCATACTAGGCAAGTGCTTTACCACTAAGCTACTGTGGAACCTGAACAAGCCAGAATAAAATATCTAAAGATACTGACCTTACGATTGCTACAGTGGAAAATTACCAGTCAGAACATACTGTAATGAAGCCAACTATGTGACAAGCACCAAATGGGCTATAAGGATTATTGCACTTAGCCTTTTAGGGTTCCCATTTTTTTTGCAGTCTTGGGGATGAAACCCAAGGTTTCTGCCATTGAGCTACATCTCTAGTACTGGGGCTCCTTTTTAAATATGAGTCAGGAACCACGGCTCATCCTTTAATGCCAGAAAAGCATCTAAAATTTAAAAATAGAGAACAAAATATATGAATTACATTAACAAGATATTAGGGGGGAAGCTCTTCATTCTTTTTTCTCCCCTCCTGTTTCTTTTCTTTTTTGTGGGTCATGGGGCTTGAACTCTGGGCTTGAGCGCTGTCCCTGTGTTCTTTAGCTCAAACCCCAGTACTACCAAAAGAATTCAGTAAGGAGGTATGTATTGAATAAAGAATAAGTGAACTCAAAGACATTTAAAATTATACAATCAGGGAAATAAATGAGAACAAAAAGAATGAAGAAAGCAAGTCTTGTGTGATACTGTGAAGTAGAACAATGAATGTATTTTAAGACATCTTAGGAATGAAGAAAAAGCTAGACAGTAAACTTAAGTAATGGCTAAAAATGTTCCCGATCTGGGAAATGAACATCCATATCTAAGAATCCCAGAAAAATCAAGAATGAATCAAGAAGTCAACACCAAGATACCCTATGATCACGTTGTCAAGAAGTAAAAAAAATTTGAAAGTAGCAAGAAAAAAGTGACTTGGAATATATGTATATTCAGAGCAGTGAAAGAAAAGTTATCACCGAAGAATATTATATCCAGCTAAACTTGTCTTTCAAATATGAAGGAAACAATTTTCCAAAATAAAAGCTAAGGGAGCTCAGCATCATAGATCTTCCTAGAAGAAATGCTAAAAGAAACACTTCAAGTTACAACCCAAAACTAAAACTGCAACATGAAAGCTTATTAAAGTACAAAACCACATGGAATTGAAGAAAAAAAGAAACAAAAAGGACTCCAGCAGAAATACTAGTATTACAAGAAGCAACATGAAAACAATAATTTTTAAGCCTCAGTGGAGATAAGAAAATACATATTACCTCTATTAAATATTATGCTATAAAAAGGGAAGATTCTGTTAAATGAGATAGAATAAGACATGGAAAACTGGGAAGACTGGAAAACAAAGTTGAGGCAAACTTCCCAAAAAGAATAAAAGCAAACCAGAAAGAAGAAAAAGGAAAATAGAGAAATTTTGAGAACAATATGTATTAAGACAACATTACAAAATAGATGTTCCAGATAAAGTTGAGAAAAAAACAGAGGGAATAAAAATACCAGGGAAAGAATCCAAGAACATTTGCTAAACAAGATACTGTATGAAAAGAAATGTACTCATGACCTGACTCATGTAATCCATCTGTATATCACCTTTATAATAACAATAAAGTCAACTAATTAAAAAAAAAACATTTTGTCAGGCACCAGTGGCTCATGCCTGTAAGCCTAGCTACTCAGGAGGCTGAGATCTGAGGATTACCAAAAGCCAGCCCAGGCAGGAAAGTCAGTGAGACAACTTATCTCCAATAAACCACTCAGAAAACCGGAAATGGCGCAGTGGCTCAAGTGGTAGAGAGCTAGCCCTGAGCTGAAGAGCTGAGGGATAGCATTCAGGCCCAGAGTTCAAGCCCCATCACCAACAACAAAAAACCAACTTTTTCTAGAACTAAAGGATATGAGTGTCCAGATTGAAAGAACAATGATAATGTGATATTCAGCACGGAAAATTTAGATCATAAGGGACCAAATTGAATGGGTTATATAACTTGGTAAAGTTTGAGATGAAATAGATGAAAAATAGAAAACTAAGCCATTGAAGCAGGGAGAGATTGACTTCAGGAAAAAAATACGATAATGGCATATCGTGAGAATATTATTTATCTAGCATTTTATCATAATGTCTATACTAAATGTGATATAAGAGTGTGAAGAAAGTAGAAACAGTGAGAAAGATGGGGACCAGGGATGAAAGAGGGAATAGCTCCATTCTTCCACAGTGTAAGTCAATAGAAAGCTTAAAATATATCAGGTAAAAGTAGTATAACTATGTACTTAGTAATATACTTAACAGGATATAGAGATATGGAATCTATAAAATGTAAGAGTCATTCAGTTATTTGTATGTTGTCTGTCCCTTAGGTTAAACTTTTTTTTGTTTGTCCTGGGGCTTGAACTCCAGGACTGGGTGCTATCCCTGAGCCTCTTTGTGCTTAAGGATAGCACTCTACCACTTGAGCCACAGTGCCACTTCTGCCTTTTTTGAGTGGTTTATTAGAGATAAAAGTCTCACAGGGACTTTTCTGCCCAGGCTGGCTTCAAATGGAGATTCTCAGATCTCAGCCTCCTGAGTAGCTAAGATTACAGGTGTTAACCACTGGTGCCTGGCCAGATCAGGTTTTTTTTCTATATGTATCAGTCCTGGGACTTGGACTCTGGGCCTGGGTGCTGTCCCTGAGCTTTTTTGCTCAAGACTAGTACCCTACTACTTGAGCCACAGCTCCACTTCTGGCTTTTTGGTGGTTAATTTGAATTAAGAGTCTCATGCACTTTCATTCCGAGGCTGGCTTTGAACCATAGTCCTCAGTTCTCAGATTACTGAGTAGCTAGGATTACAGGTATGAGCCACCAGCCCCTGGCTAGATCATTCCTAGGAAGGAAGAGAAGAACTGGAAATGGACATAGATTATTTCTTAACTTGATTCCTTCATGGCTTATTGTTTTGTTCTATATATCCCAAACCTTAACTATCATGATTTTAAATGGACTTGGGAGGGAAAAGGAAACCTGCCACTTGTAGGCTGTTCACAAATTTTGCCATTCTTTTATGCCTGCTTTTTTAGACTGGGAATGTCCCAACTCAAAAGAACATAGACAGTGCAAGAATTCCACTCTTTTGGATATCAGTAAAGCAGTAGCGATAGAGAATGTCACGCAGTTTTCAAACTTTTCTGCAATTGTGGGTGAGTTTTCATATATATTTTCCTTTTATTGCGGGACGAATTCTTTGTCTATTGGAAAATACTGTTAGAAAAAAAACAGTATTTTTTTTGTGTGTCCTGAATAATTCCTAAGCTAAGTGTATTAGTTGGCCATCATGTCAAGGCCTGTTGTAACTAAACCTGATCATGCAATCCATAAGGCTTTGGAACTGGTATTTGACAGGTGCTTAAAAGAGTTTGAAGAGTGGGCTAGAGAAAGCCAAGAAATTGTGAGCAGAAATGAATGAGTGATTCTAATGAGAGCTCAGAGACCAAAATGTTGATATTGAAGGCCAGCCTCATGAGGTTTCAGATGAGAACAAGACCCTTATTGGGAATTGGACTAGGGGAGTGCTATCAGCAAGAGCAGAGAATGAATGATGCTAGATGTTAACTGTTTGGAGCCCTATGTTTTGAGGACCTCCCTTCCCAAGAAAATGCTTGGAAGGTACAAATGTACCTTGCCTCTGATTAACTGTTATGATTTTAAAATCTTAATCTGACATAAGCAAGGTGCTCTGGTTGCTGAAGAATATTAACTTCCTCAGAAGAATACTTTCATGGTTCTTTATATTCCTAGTAATATCCTAGTGTGCTTAGACAGTATAGTGCTGAAAGAGAATGTCTCCTGACTAATCAACCAATGCATATCTAGATGTTTGTTCCTGGACTAAGTCAGTACCAGATGATCTAAGTTTAAGGTCCAGGTATCTAGGTTTAATTTCATAATTTGGTCAGTTATTATTTTCTCTTATGTAAAATGGAGATAATAGATTAGCATAGCTGACTGACAGGATTATTATAAGAACCATAAGACTCAGAATTTCAAGACTAATAGTTGTAAAGATTTCAAATTGTGAAGACTGTTCAGTGTCACATTACTGTAACTCTCAACAGTTTAAACACTTAGTTTTACTTTGGTATTTTGAAAATATTTTTAATTAAACTAGAAGACAAAAAATAACAAAACAATAAAAAACTGTACTGCTACTATATATGTTCTGGAAATACTTATTTTTACCTATAGTACTTTTAGCCTCTTTGAATTGTTTCTACTTCTAATAGATTTTTTTTCCTTTCCTAGGTACCTTTTTGGAAAACTCTCAGAAAGGCCATAGAAAAATGTAAGAGCTAAGAATTTCAAAGTAATTGTGCCTTTGAAAACTCTGTATTCAAAAATTTATATAGCAAGTAGGATTGTTCCTTCATTTGTTTAGGACTTAAAAAGTATGTGTAAGGGCTGTTCTAATCACTGCATATAAACAAAATTGATCATGGGTCTGGGAAGTTAGCTTGGTACATGTTGGCATGCCTAGCATGCCCGATGCCCTGGGTTTGATTCCCCAGTACCACATACACAGAAAAAGCCAAAAGTGACGCTGTGGCTCAAGTGGTAGAGTACTAGTCTTGAGCAAAAGAAGCTCAGGAATAGTACCCAGGCTCTGAGTTCAAGCCCCAGAACTGGCAAAAAAAAAAAATGATCACAAATTCTCCATCCTTTCTGAGACCACATTCTAGTTGGAATACATGAGTAGTAAACAAACAAGTAAATTTATACTGTATTATTTAGTCTTGAATGGTATAAATAAATAATAAAGCTTGAGGGACTGAAGGAGTATGGGAGTGGTAGTTTGCTATTTTAAGAAATCTGTTCAGGAAAATCTTCACTGAAAAAGCATTATTTGAACAGTTGTATAAAGATTGATTTAAGCTGGGCGCCCATGGCTCATGTCTGTAATCCTAGTTACTCAGGAGGCTGAGATCTGAGGATCGCAGTTCAAAGCCAGGGCAGGAAAGTCTGTCAGACTCTTAGCTCCAATTAAGCACCAGAAAACCAGAAGTGGCACTGTGGCTTACATGGTAGAGTGCTCGCCTTGAGCTGAAGAGGTGAGGGTCAACAGCCAGGACCAGAGATCAAGCCCCACGACTGACAAAAAAAAAAAAAAAAGATTCATAGAAACTAGTGAAAGATCATTCTAGGTAGAAAGAATAGACAAAGCCTTCCCCCCCCATTTAAGTTTTTACAAGGATCTATTTTAGTCTAACAGGATAAAGAAGAGATAAGTGGAATAGGGGTGAAATATTTTCTGCTCCCCATATAAGAAATGAGAGTAAAGATTCTAGGACTCAGCCAGGTGCCAGTGGCTCATGCCTATAATCCTAGCTACTCAGGAGGCTGAGATCTGAGGATCACTGTTCAAAGCCAGCCCAGGCAGGAAAGTCCATTAAACTCTTATCTCTCTTCTCATCTCTTATCTCTTATGTCTTCTCTCATATCTCTCTTATGTCACTTCCAGAAAACCGGAAGTGACACTGTAGCTCAGGTGGTAGAGTGCTAGCCTTGAGCTGAAGAGCTGAGGGACAGCACTCAGGCCCAGAGTTCAAGCCTCACAACCAACAAAAAAAAAAAAAAAAGGATTCTAGGACTCTTGAAGAGTGCAATGACTTGTGTTTTCAAGGAATCACCTTAACTACTGTGATGAGAACAAAATATAGGGAGGGAAGGAATTAGGAAGATGATAGCTAGGATACTATCTTACTAATCTAAATAAGAGATATTAGAGTATGGACCAAAGTGTTAACAGCAGATGTGGTAACAGCAGATATGGTAACACATGGTCAGATTTTGGATATATTTTGAAAGTAGCACTAGCACAATAGCTAGTATGTTCCCTCATTGCAGAGGGTGCATGTGCCTGGGTATTGTGGCCCCTTCTTAGATAGAGCATTGGCTTTGCAATGCCCTGATTCTCCACATCTATAATATTTCCTCTTTGGATTACTAGAACCAACCTACCATTTAGAATTTCCCTGGGTTATTCTTTGAGGAAAATTCTACCTACCATTTAGAATTTCTCTGGGTTATCCTTTAGAGGGAAATTCTATAATCATAGCCAGTACCTGGCCTTGCTATTTAGCAAATAATTGGGCCTGCTTCTCTGCATGTAGTTGACCTCCCTTAATCTTCCATTAAAACCTAGTTGTTGAAAATGTCAAAGGCCAGATTTACTAATAGGGACCTATTTTCTATTTCTGTAGCTTAAAGGGTATCTGGTATTGATTGCCTAATAAAAAAACATCCTCAGAGCATTTGTCCTGATGAATCTGGAATGATACTATATTTTCTGAAAGTTTCTGTTAACTGTCTGAGAAACAGTTCTTATCATAATTAACAGTTTTGTGCATTGATTGCTTTATTTCTTCAATTAAGCAACTAATTATGTAATTTCTTAATTCTACATTAGTGTTTCTGAGTTATCAGGGAAATAGGAACATTTCCCACTGATTTAGCATCCCTGACATAGATATCATTGGCATGAGCGTAAACTGTAGTCCAAATGCTATTTCTTTGTAGGAGTAAAATATACTAAAAATAAAGCATCTATATCTTTCTCCAGGTTATTTGAAAAGTAATAAAGCCAAGCAGAGTGGCTCAAACATACAATCCTAGTTATGTGGGAAGCAAAGGTTGGGGAGGGTGCTACCCCAGGCATAAAAGTTTGAGACTCGAAGAGCTGAGGGACAGCGCCCAGGCCCAGAGTTCAGGCCCCGTGATCGAACCCCCCCCCAAAAGAGTTTGAGACCCCATCTCAATTAATAGTTGGGCATACACAATGCCTGTGTGAAGTGGCTCTTGCCTATCTCCCCAGTGACTAGGGGAAGCACAAGGCTACCCAGGCACGAAGTGAGGCCCTACAGAAAATAACCAGCACAAAAAGGGACTGAAGGCATGGTTGGTATAAGTGCTTGTCTGGCCAAAGCAAGGCCCCAACTTCAATCCTCAGTTCTGTAAATAATAAGAAAAAAATGTCAGGTATTGGTGGCTCATACCTGTAATCCTCGCTTGCTACTCAGGAGGCTGAGACCTGAGGATGGAGGCTGAGACCTAAGGATTGCAGTTCAAAGCCAGCCTGGGCAGAAACAATTTGTGAGATTCTCATCTACAATAAATTACTCAGAAAAAGCTGGAAGTGGCACTGTAGCTCAAAGTGGTAGAGTACTAGCCTTGAGCACAAATGGACAGCACCGAGGGTTAAGTTCAAGCCCCAGGACAGGGATAAAAGGGACAGGGAAGTGGCATTGTGATTCAAGTGGTAGAGCACTAGCCTTGAGCTGAAAAGCTGAGGGACAGCGCCCAGGCCCAGAGTTCAACCCGGACAACCAACAACAACAAAAGCAAGAAAGTATTTGGACAGTATAAATTTAAAGTGAAATATGAAAGAGTAAAACTATTCTGTTTACTGAATAACTGAATTTAATCAGTCACTAATCTGGAAAATTCTCTTCTCACAGTTTGTTTTCAATTCATTGTCTTTCTCAGAAATTTGTTGTTTTGTTCAGATTTTTTTTTTTTCTGTCATGGGGCTTGAACTCTGAACTGTCACTGAGCTATTTTGCTCAAGGATAGCCTTCTGCACTTTGAGCCATAGTTCTACTTCTAGTTTTTCAGTGGCTAATTGAAGAAAAGCCTCACAGAACTTTTCTGCCTAGGCTGGCTTCAAACTGGGATCCTCAGATCTCAGCCTCTTGAGTAGCTACCACCATAAGCCACTGGCACCCAGCTCAGATCTTGTTTTGATTGACAAATACTAATTCTCTCTTTAATCCTCTCATGCACACTTAGATAAAATCCAGGGCAATTGAGAGAGAATAAAATACTCATTTCAAAAATTGTTTCTTATATATGAAATCCTTACAATAATCCTAGAAACAGGATTGAGAGGGTTTTTTTTGCTACTCTTGGGGCTTGAATTTAGGGTCTGAGCACTGCCTCTGACCTTCTTTTGCTCAAGACTAGCACTGTACCACTTGAACCACAGCGCCACTTCAAGCTTTTACTGTTTATGTAGTACTGAGGAGTTGAACCCAAGGCTTCATGCATGCTAGGAAAGCACTCTACCACTAAGCCACATTCTCAGATATTTTTTGTATTAATGAGATAAACAAGACCCAAGATAAGTTAAGTAGCTTTCTCAAGGACCTTCAAGTGTGAGTAGCAAAGGTAGGGTTTATACTGAAGTTTGTATGATTCTAAATACTATGCCTTGTCTTCTATACATGTTGTCTCACATTGATAAATTATGAATATACTGTCCTTTATTAAACTATTTGTCCCTAAAGATTAAAGATTATTTATATGTTTACATGTTTCAGATAATTTCTCTAACTCACTATATTCCATATCAATTCCATATAAATATCATTTTTATGAATTTATTTTTAAAAATATGACCTAAGGATTCTGAAAAGTGATTGAGAGTTAAGTAAATACCACTAATTTGTTTTGATTATAGATTGATGACATTAGCAGACCAAGATATTTCTCCAAATTCAAAGTGTACTTCAAAGCCAGCATCAGGTAATAGATAATAACACTATTATTTTCATGATTATGTATTTATTTCTACTACAGTATAGCATGTATTAATAAACTAGGTACTCCAGGAAACTGACTTTTTAACCTTGGTTGTATTTGAGAAATAAAGCTGTATGTGTTACCCGGCTGCCAGTGGCTTACACCTGTAATCCTAACTACTCAGGAGGCTGAGATCTGAAGATCACGGTTCAAAGCCAGCCTGGGCAGGAAAGTCCATGAAACTCTTATCTCCAATAAACCACCAGAAAACCGGAAGTGGTGCTGTGGCTTAAGCTGAAGAGATAAGGGACAGCATCCAGGCCAAGTTCAAGCCCCACGACCAACAAAAAAAAAAGATGTATGGGTTAGAAAGTGGGTCTTAATTATTCCTATAACATGCCTCATTTATTTATTTGTTGAATATTTACTGAATATCTACACTAGGTATTGTTATATATACTAGGAAATGAAACCCTTTTCTTCCCTTGTAGATTTCAGTAGTAGGAGAGGATAATATGCGAATAGATATATTATGGTCATATGTGATGATTGAAAACTAATAGGATCAATGAAGTATCTTGCATTATTATCATTCTTTCATTTGTTTTATTATTTGAATAAATTTAATAAGGTATTTATATCCTTTTTAACTTCTGCTACATCTCACATTTCTTTTTTTTTAATTTCCTCCAAGTTTTGTGCTATTTGAGAATAATAAATTGCTATTTCAAGGGACATTAAATGGTTTAAAATGTTTGCATGAACTAGTATATAAATGTACACATATACAATCTTTAAGAAAGAGTTCCATTAAACATTTACTAAATGCCAGGCATTAGGAGCTGAGTATAGAAATGATGAAGGTCATATTCAGTGCTGATGGCTCACATCTATAATCCTAGTGACTGAGGCTGAATTTAAAGCCAGCCTGAGCAGACAAATATGAGACTCTTATCTCCAATTAACCTGCCAAAAGCTGGAAGTGGGAGTGTTGTTCAAGCAGTAGAGCTTCAGCCTTAAACAAAGCAAGAGGCCCCAAGTTCAAGCCTCAGGACCAAAATTGAACTTGCAAAATCACTAGTCCTTGGAGGGACTAAAGTACCTTCAACTTTAGAGGATAAACATTAGGAGGCTTTGTTTTATAGATCAACTAATAAAGGGACTGCAAGAAAAGATGAGAAATGAAAGGAAACATGGTAAAGGTGTATAAAAGCCATGATCTTTTCACTTAAGACTTGCCAAATTGAAAGTTTTGCTTCTGGTGGAAGTGCTATTTATAAAGCATCTTGGATCATCTAGAATTATGAATGCTTTTGTTTTCTATTGATTTTCTTGAAATTTAAAATTAAATCATGTTTTACTCCAAGGTTTTTGTTTTATTTTTGTCAGTCATAGGTCTTGAACTCTGGGCCTGGGCACTGTCCATGAGCTCTTCAACTCAAGGCTAGCACTCTACCATTTGAGCCACAGCACCACTTTTGGTTTCCTGGTAGTTTATTGGAGATACGAGTCTCAGGGACATTCCTGCGCTTTGAACCGTGATGCTCAGATCTCAGTCTCCTGAGTAGCTAGGATTACAGGCATGACCCACCAGAGCCTGACTTCCTAGGTATTTTTTTTGGGGGGGGGTCCGGTCATGGGGCCTGAACTCCTGGGAGCTCTTCAGCTCAAGGCTAGCGCTCTACCACTTGAGCCACAGCGCCACTTCCAGCTTTTTTCTTTTTGCTTATGTGGTGCTGAGGAATCGAACCCAGGGCCTAAGGCATGCAAGGAAAGCGCTCTACCACTGAGCCACCTTCCCAGCCCAGACAGACGGTTTTTTGACTATTGACAAAAGAAGGGCTATAGCAGGATAGGAGATAAAAGGTTTGGATAAGATAAGCAAGGCCTGAGTATGCATTAAATGAGTATAGAACCAGGTATAGTGGAAAATATCAATAGTCGCTGCTACTCAAGGAGGTGTGAGCCAAGATGATGACTTGAGCCCAGCCTGGGCAGTAGAACAAGACCCTGTCTCAAATATTAAAAAAACAAACACTGACAGAAAAGTTGCAGCAGAAGGGAAAGCCTGAAACACAGGAAAGAGGAAATGATAGAATAATGAACAAAGAATTTTAATTATACATTTCTACTAAATGAGAGGAAAAAAGAACTTCACCTATTGCTTCTCTGAAACCTGAAGCTCTGGAGATAAAAGTATTTTAAGGATATTTTTTCCTATCTGAGGCAAGTGAGTTTATCTAACACATGTTGTTATTTTTTCCTAAACAATTACAAAAGTACAGTTATTAAAATAATGGTTTTTATTTTGCTTTGTCTTTATAGGGACATGTTAATAATTAAAGTATTAAACTATTATTTATAGATAATGCAGCTTGTGAGGCTTTACTTGCTGAGAAAACTTGCCTTCCAGCCCTTGAAAATACAAAGCAAAAAGCAAGTATTGAAGTAGAATAACCATATAAATCATAATTACATTAATAAAGTATATACATTTAAGTAATGCTCTATAGGAACTCTAAATATGTAAGACAATAATTAAAAGCATTTTAGAATTTAGCAATTAGATTATTCTATTTTATGAAAAACTGCAGTATACACATGCATATGTACTGCTTGTAAAATTAATGAAAGAAATAGCATGTATTTTACATTTTTCAACTCTTCTTTGAATGATTGGATTCCATTAATCATTAATTTAAGTTGTAAATGAGAAATTTAGTATGTATCCAGAGCATCATTTTATGCTGAAGATTACTTGTGAGTCAATGTTAGGCAATATGTTAGAATCTGAAGATCTCTGAACTTTGAATGGCTTTTCATTAATTCTGTCTTTTCTTTGTACCATTTCAGTGAGATAAATAGTAACTTATTTAACTGATTGATAGCCAAGAAAACTGAAGCTTAGATTCTCATCATGTATTTAGGAGCTTGTGGCAAGACTTTCTTGATCTAAAACCATACTTTTCCCATTTCAACATACATTGTATAGATTAGGGAACAGAAAGAGCAAAAATGTTAGCAAGGAGACCCGTTAGTAAGAAGTTACAAGGATTTTCTGGTGAGTGTTTGTATTGGCTTTGATCAGGACATTTTATAGGAGAGCTAGGAAGACATACATGGATTGTAGATAGATATGCCTGCAGAGTCCATAGATTGAGAGGAAAAGGAGTAAGAAGTGCTAAGAAAAGCTTCCAAGTTTCACAATCAACAAAGTGAATATACTATCCGCAGAACAGGAGAGAGTCTTTGTGAAATAGTCACCTGACAAGAATATTATCCAGATGGGAGGGAGGGGGAGGCTGGGAAGGGATGTGAAGGGTAAACCAAAGGAGGAGGCTGCAATGCTTGGTAAGAAATGTACGCATTATCCTGCCCATGTAATTGTAACCCCTCTGTACAGTATGTTCACAAATAAAACAGAATTAAATTTAAAAAAAAAGAATTATTATCCAGAATATATAAAGAACTCAAATATCTAAAGAAATAAAAAGATTAAACACCAAAAAATAGGTAACTCATCATTAAGTGGACAAATGAACTCACCAGACACTTTTCAAAAGAAGTACAAATAACCAATAAAAATGTTCAACATTTTTAGCCATCTGGGAAATATAAATCAAACTATACTGAGATTTCATCTCATCCCAGTCGAGTGGCTAACATCAAGAAAGCAAACAAAGCCAACTGCTAGTGTTTTATGCCTATAATCCTAATTACTTGAGAGATGGAGCTCAGGAGTCTTGTGGTTCAAGGCCAGCCTAGGCAAACATTTCTTTTTTTTTAATTTTAATTTTTTATTGTAAAGATACTATACAGAGGGTTACAGTTACATGAGCAAGGTAATGAGTACACTTCCTATTGAGCATTGTTACCCCCTCCATTGTTTTTCCCCTACCACCCTTACCCTCCCTACCTTCCCCGAGGTTCTTTTCTTTTTTATAATTGTGATTAAGTGTTTACATAATTTCCCAAATTTCATAGTATTGTGGAATAATGATGCTCATTTAAAGTCACAAGTTCATTCTAACTTTCCTGGAGCAAATTGTCTATCACAGTCTATAACATATAACGGTGTACACATGTTATACACCATACATGTGATCAGCAGCATGGGGATATTTAGTAGTGGTTCGACCAGATGAGTGGGAGTTCTTTGTTCCTTAAGTCCTGTTAATTTCGTCGTATCACCTAGCATTTTGGATTTAGCATCCACTTATCAGGGAGACAATGTACCGTTTGTCTCTTTGCTCTTGGCTTACCTCGCTCAACATGATTCCTTCTAGCTCCATCCATTTCCCTACAAATGCCAGGCAAACATTTCTAAGACATACCTCCAACCAATAGCTAGGTCTAATGGTAAACACCTGTCATCCCAGCTTCATGGGAGGCTGATAGTTTTATGGTCCCGGCCACTTGGGTAAAAAGTTCATAAGACACCATCTCAAAAGAAAAAGGTGAGTATAATAGCATTAACCTGTCATCTCAGGTATAGAGACAGGCATCAGGAGAATTGTGGTCAAACATGGAGACTGAACAGTAACAGTACATTACTTCAATGACCAGTGAGTCATTCAAGGAGGAAATCCAAAGTCCCTAGAATCTAATGAAAGTGAAAACACAACATGCTGAAATCACAAGGATACTACTGCAAAGGCAATGCCAAGAGAAACATTTATCGCTATGAGCACTTAGATCAAAATAACAGAGCAATCTCAAATAACCTAATGATGTACCTTAAGCTCTTAGAAAAACACGAACAGTGTTGATGATGAGGGTACCATCAGGAGGGGGAAAGGCTAACAGGGTGAATGAGGATGACTAGTGTCTAAGTAGTTTATTTACTTTTATGAAAATAGGATAATAAAACCTATTTAAATTGTTTTAAGAAGAGACAAGGTGTATTTGAGGGCGTGTTGGAGGGGATGAATTTGACCAAGATGCCTTATATGAGTATATGCCAATGTCACAATGAAACACTCTTGTATGGTAATAAGAAAATGCCAAAAAGAGAGAAAAAAAGCCAAGAACAAGCCAATTCCAAAACAAGCAGGCAGAAAGAAATAATAAAGATTTAGGCATTGGGGCTGGGAAGGTGGCTCAGTGGTAGAGTGCTTGCCTTGCATGCATGAGGCCCTGCCTTGGATTCCTCAGTACCACATAAGCACAAAATGCCAGAAGTGGTGCTGTGCTCAAGTGGTAGAGCACTAGCCTTGAGCAAAAGCAGCTCAGGGACAGTGCTCAGGCCCAGAGTTCAAGCCCCACAACTGGCAAAAAAAAAAAAAATAGTAATTTCAACCAGAATATTTTCATATAGTTGTTAGGCCCCTTACAGTTTTCTTGGGAGCTGTTTCACCTAGCTCATACCAGAAAATTCTTTAGTTTCCTGTCCAGTGGCTTAAAAGTAACAGATTGAAGATTTTATTGGTTTATTATGATCTAGTCAACTAACTTTAACTTGTAGTTTAAAGTATTTTTCTGCCACCCAACCCCTATTTTATAAACATTTATAGAAAACAAATGCTGTTATTCTTGATGAGAAGAACAGATGCCTGTTAACAAGTACTCCATCTTCAAAGAAAGTCAATTTTGTGGTGAGTGTTAGCCTTTGGCATTTATGGTATCTGTTTTCTAACTCCTCTCCCCATTCTTCTGTTTATGTCATACCAAGGACATATTGCTTAAAGATAAAAACATCTGTATGTTCATTGGGCATAAACATACTTTCATTAAAAGTACTTTATATGCTTTACATATGTGAAGAAATTAGTACATTGTATCACCAACCACTGTTCTTTTTATCCCAAAATATATGTAATATAAAATTTAAAATCCTAGCTGTTGAAGAGCATAGTTCAAGTATATTCACATGGTCATTCAGCCATCACCACAATCCAATTCTAGAACATTTTCTATCTTGTAAAACTGAAACTCCTATTAAATGGTAACCTATTAAGTGGTAACTCCCTATTCTTTTCTTCCCCAGCCTCTTCCCTCATTCAGCCTCTTGTAACTACCATTCTTTTTTTTTTTTTTGCCAGCCGTGGGGCTTGAACTCAGGGCCTGGGCACTGTCCCTATTCCTGAGCTGCTTTTGCTCAGGAAGCTGTATTATTTGTCCTTTGATTTGTTAATTTGTTTGTTTTCTTTGTTTGTTGGCAGTCCTGGAGGGTTGAACTCAGGGCTTTATGCTTGCCAAGGCAGTTGCTTTAGCCCTTTTTATTGTAGCTATTTTTGAGATTTTGCCCAGGCCAGCCTAGACTGTCATCTTTTTATTTATATTTCCCACAGTAGCAGGGATGATAGATGCATGCTAGCTTTTTCTGCTGTTTTGGGGTTTCTTAGACATTCTTGCCTTGACATGGAACTGCAATCCTTCTAATTTCAGCTTCCCACATATCTGAGATGACAGGCCCATACCATCAAACCCAGAAATTGGTTGACCTAGGGAGTCTCATTAACTGTTTGCTACAACTAGTTGTTTTTTGTTTTTTGCTAGTCATGGGGCCTGATCCCTAGGCCTGGGCGCTACCCTGAGCTCTTCAGGTCAAGGCTAGCACTCTACCACTTGAGCCACAGCACCACTTCCAGCTTTTTCTGCTTACATGGTACTGAGGAATCAAACCCAGGGCCTCCTGCATGCAAAGCAAGCACTCTACCACTGAGCCACCTTCCTAGCCCTACAACTAGTCTTGAGCCTCTATCCTCCTGATCTCAGCTTCCAGCATAGCTGGGATTACAGGCTATCATTTTCTAACTTGAACTCTAATTCACATTTTGTATAATGTACAATGCGACACAAGATTGTGTAACCATCGCCATAATCGAATTCAAGAACACTTTATCATCTCATTAACAGTCACTCCTTATTCCCTATCCCACCCTCCAGCCTCTAAAGCTAATAGCTTAGTTTATCCTTAGGTTTGCTCTTCCTAGATATTTTATGTAAGTAACTTGTGGCTTACTGTGCCTGGCTTCTTTCACTTGACATAATATTTTTAAAATTCATGTTGTGTAGCATCACCAGGACTTCATTACTTTTCCTTGATTAAATAATATTCTACTATATGGATCTACCACATTTTTTTACCAACTCAGTTTATGGTGTTTGTTTCTTCTTGTTATCTATTTTGATTGCTATAAAAGTTTGTGTGTAAGTTTTTGTGTGAAAACATGTTGGTTTCTTTAGTATATACCTAGGAGTAGTAGTTGAATTGCTGGTTCATATAACTAACTATATAGGTTTAATAACTTTTTGAAGTGGACTTTTAAAAATTTTGTTTATTCTTTTCTTTTTGGTGCCTGCCCTAGGTACTATCCCTGAGCTTTTTTTACTCAAGGTGAGCACTTTACCACTTCAGCCACAGCTCCACTTCCAGCTTTTTGATAGTGAATTGAAAATCAGAATCTCACGATCTTTCCTGAACCTCTATCCTCAGATCTTAGTCTCCTGAGTAGCTAGGATTACAGTCATGAGCCACTGGTGCCCAGTAAAGTTTTACTTTTTATTTTTTTTGGGGGGGTCCAGTTGTGGGGCCTGAACTCTGGGCCTGGGCGCTGACCCTCAGCTCTTCAGCTCAAGGCTAGCACTCTACCACTTGGGCCACAGCACCACTTCCGGCTTTATTCTTATGTGGTGCTGAGGAATCAAACCCAGGGCCTCAGGCATGCAAGGCAAGTGCAAGCCACCTTCCCAGCCCAAGTTTTACTTTTTTAAGTGATATAATGCACATTCAACTTAAAGTGTACTATTCCATGTTTTGTAGCTTAGTCTTGCATATGTGCTGTCATCATATTTAATTTTAGAATATTTTTAATTACCACTGAAAAAAATCTCCACATCCTTAACATCTTATACCCCTTGCTTCTTCACCCTGCTCTTCAGTTCTGTTCTGGACATTTCACACAAATGGAATAAAATATTATAGTCTTTTTTATGACTAACTTCTCTCACTTCACATAATGTTTTTATGGTCCTGGTAATTAAACTCAGGGATTTATGTGAGCCAGGTAAGCTGTGTACCACTAAGCTACCCAAGCCCTAGTACAATGTTGCTAAGATTTACCTATAGCTCAAGCAGAAAAGGTCAGATAAGTTGATGTTAGGGAAATGAACCCTAAGGTATGTATTCAAATGTTTTTTTTCTTTCAGGCGATTGTTTCTAACACATTTATAAGATTATTTCTTTGTTGCTTTGTATGTCCCTCCCCCACAGTATAACCCCTGCTTTCACTGTATTTGATGTTGGTATAATTTGTGGAGGGGAAGGGAAAAAACAAATTGTTTAAATAGGGATACAGGTGGACCCATTGCAACAATGAGATGTACAAGTCATTATGTCAAAAACGAACTTTACAACTTTGGTGGGGGGGGTATGGGAAGGGATGGGAAGGGGAAACAAAGGAGGAGGCTACAATGCTTGATAAGAAATGTACTCATTATCTTGCCCATGTAATTGTAACAGTATTTTCACAATAAAAAAAAAAGATTTACCTATAGCATCATGCTTCAATACATCATTCCTTCTTAAGACTGCGTAATATGTTGATGGAAATTTCAGTTATTTCCATTTATAATTATTATAACATTGCTATAAACATCTCATTTGTTTACCAACTTTATGTGGATGGATGTTTTTGTTTGTCTTTGATATTTACCTAAAAATGGAACTTCTATATTATATGAAAACTGATTTCAGTAACTTCCAGACTTTCTCCAAAATGTGTCTGAACAAGTTTGCATTTGAGGCTAGCCTGGGCTATATACAGATAATCCTTATTTTGAAACAAAAACATTCAAGGCCTATAACAAAACAAAAGCATTCCCAACAACAGCATATGAGTGTTCTGATTTCTCCTATCATCATCCATTCTTTGGGGTGTGAAATGATAGCTCTTGTGATTGTGATCTTGCATATCTTACTTAATTGGAGATAGTCTTACAAACTTTCCTGCCCTAGCTGGCTTTGATGTGATCCTTAGACTTCAGCCTCCTGAGTAGCTATAATTATAGGCCTGAACCACCAGCATATTTATGTATTCTGGATACTAGATCCTTATTTATCTGCAAATCTTTTCTCCCATTCTTTTTTTTTTTAATCTACTTTCTAAGTCCTACCCACTGCCCAGAAAGCCTGGGGCTCCTGGTGCTGCAGCCAGGTCTCGGCTCCCCGCCCCTCCCCGCTCCCCCCTTCCCCTCCTTCCCCCCCCCACCCCATCTCCACATTCTTCCCTGGTTCTTCTCTCCTGGCCTTCCACTCCCTTTCTCCCCAATGCCTCCTTCCCACCTGCTTTCCCTCCAGTCTCTCCCTCCTATTTGTGCCTTGGCAGCTGCTTCCAATGCAGCAAGATGCACCTCTTTTCTCCCATTCTGTGGGCACATACTAGGAAAGTATTTAAAAATACTTTGAAAAGGGCTAGGAAGGTGGCTCAGTGGTAGAGTGCTTGCCTTGCATGCATGAGGTCCTGGGTTTGATTCCTCAGCATCATATTAGCAGAAAAAGCTGGAAGTGGTGCTGTGGCTCAAGTGGTAGAGTGCTAGCCTTGAGCTGAAGAGCTGATGGACAGCACCCAGGCCCAGAAAATTCCTTGAGAATATTCAATGACTTGGCATTTTTAGGCTCGATTTTTTTTTTTTTTGTCAGTCATGAGGCTTGAACTCTGGGCTTGGGCACTGTCCCTGCACTCTTCAGCTCAAGGCAAATGCTCTACCACTTGAGCCACATTGCCCCTTCTGGTCTTCTAGTGGTTTATCGGAGATAAGAGTCTCACGGACTTTCCTGCCTGGGCTGGCTTTGAACCTGATCCTCAGATCTCAGCCTCCTGAGTAGCTAAGATTACAGGCCTGAACCACTGGCACCCCACTTTGGCCCAAATATTATTACCAACTTAATCTACTAATAATTGCTTTTGGCTTGAACCACAGATTGCAGTAAAACACACACACACACACACACACACACATAAATACCCTTCATATATAAGCTCTCAGCCTTAGGTAGCCACTCTAAAGATGGCTAGTTGTTAAGGACCTATGGACAACTTAATTCTCTAGGATATCATTTTAGTATGACAGTGGTAAGAGTATCTAAGGCACACATGGAGAAGCATGAAAATTTTCTGTTCTCCTAAGAGCAAGAGAATGTAAGTAAGAGTAGCTATCTCTTAGCTTCCACCCAGTGCGTCTGATAATCTATTCTAGGCATCCATGAAAGTGGTGTAGCCTAGGTTGAGACCAGATTACCCTAGTCAGATCTAGCTTGTCAACATGCTTAATCCTCTTAAAGCTAAAGTTTATAGATCCTGAACATACTTTTAGGTATTTTTAACTTTGATTCATAAATACATGGTGATTTCAGTAATATAATAGATGGATGGATGGATAGATAGATAGATAGATAGATAGACGAATATAGCACTCAGAAGACAGTTCTATTTCTGGAGATAGACATTTAAAAAAACTCACCTTGGGAAGTGGTGCTGTGGCTCAAGTGGTAGAGCTCTAGCCTTGAGCTAAAGAGCTGAGGGTGGTGCCCAGAGTTCAAGCTCCATGACTGATCAAAAAAAAAAAAAAAGAGAGAGAAATACTATTTAAGAGCAGAGAGACAAGTGGCACATGGTCTCCCCAAAATGCAAGGAGATATGACAAAGTAAAGAGTACTCAAGAAACAAAGGACTTACACTCAATTTGTCATATCATTTCTAAGTGACTCCATGTTTTTGACCACATATATGGTATAGATATGAGCACATCTGCGGGGAGCTAGGAGGAGGGCACAGAATCAGAGGGAAATGGGAAAATATACAACAGAGGGGCGCATCAACTGCACTAGACATTGATGAAAACGAATTAAACAACTCAAGGGCAGTGATGGGAAGGAGGGAAGGAGAAGGAAAGAGGGAATAGCTTATACTAAGCAAAAGGAAAGAAATGTACATACCACCCAATATGGAAGAAATAGTTGTATTATTAAATCTCATAGAATTCACACACATCAGAGACCATGATAATGACAATTTTCCTTATGAAGTTAAAATGTGTTTGTGATTTTAAGTATCACTATCTCATAATACTGTGAAATTTATGTAATCACTTAATCTCAATAAAAATATTTTTTAAAAATTCACCTAGGTAGATAAGAAGAGGAAAGAACAAAACACTGGAGTATGTTTATACTTAAACACAAGGAAGCCAGGTACAGGGTGGCTCATACGTGTGTAATCCTAGCTACTCAGAAGGCTGCAGTCTGAGAATTGAGGTTCAAGGTTCAAAGCTACACTGGCAAAGAAAAGTCCATGAGATTCCTATCTCCAGTCAATCACACATATACACACAGAAAAGCTGGAAATGGAACTGTGGTTCAAGTTGCAGAGCTCCAGCATTAAGGGAAAAAAGCTAAGGGACAGCACTCAGGTCCTGAGGTCAAGACACACACACACATACACATACACA